AATATCCCCTACTGTAATTCTCTTTGAAGACTCCCCCGAAGGGACACCTAAGTACTAGAGACCCCCTAAACGAAAAACCTTAACCTCCCACCCTGAACCTTAAACCCTAAAGCCCTAACCCTAAACCCCTAAACCCTAAACCCCTAAACCCTAAACCCCTAAACTCTAAACCCCTAAACCCTAAACCACTCAACCCCTAAACCCTAAACCCCTAAACCCTAAACCCTTAAACCATAGATCCCTAAACCATAGATCCCTAAACCATGGATCCCTAAACCATGGATCCCTAAACCATGGATCCCCAGCAAGAAGGGCGCTTGGTGGGTCTTGTCCTGCGCAGGACTCCGGCGCGCAGCGTCAGCTGGCGAGGCCAGGGCAAATGAGTAGTCTTTGATTTGGGGATAATATGGGGTTTAGGGTTTAGGGTTTTAGGGTTTTAGGGTTTAGGGGTGTAGGGTTTAGGGATAATATGGAGTAAGATTATATCCTCCTTTGGGGCATAGTATTTCGAATAAAGCAGACAACTTCACCAGGTTCAACCACCAAAAAAACTACTCAAATGTGCTTTGTCCCAGCAAGCCCTTTGTACCGTTTGGGGGGTCACGGGTTCCAGATGAAACTAAGTTATACTAAAAACGAGTACAGTTCGTGCTCGGTGCCTGAGATCGTCGTCATTTTCAGATGCTGTTGTTGCGTACTATCGTCGGCTTTTGTGTCTAATTGCCTTTCTGCTGCTGGATCTTGCTACTTGGAGGGTTGGGGGGACTTAAGGAGGTTAATCATGGGGATGACTAAGGTTACTATACGGCTTATAGGGGTTATTAACCTACTTTCTAAGTCCCCTGACCCTCCAAGTACAGTGTTGTTCACTGGCGGGTCCTGCTGTGAGGATGCATCATTGACTACAATTGCCCGTGCGGCTCCAGTAACTTTGATTTCGATACCTTGCTGAGAGCATGGTTTCCCCATGGGTAAACGTATCCAAATGCTGGGGCTTGAGGTCCAACCACCATAATCTGAATGATTCCTATACCTTAAACGTGAATTACTGAATACCTAAAGCCCTGGCATTAAGCAACTGGACTCTCAGGGTATATTGGGCAGGGTGATTCTGGTGAGTATGATGAAGATTCTTGATCTTACTGGTTCTTAGTAGGGAATATTGGAAATACATAATTCCTTTGTAACCCTCTCTCTCTACATGTATATACACTATATAGAATATTCCTTTACTTCATACTTCCTACTAACCCTAAACCCTAGACCCTATACATACATATATATATATATGCACATACATAGGTGTGTATATGTATATATACATATATGCATACACCCTGATTTCCTACTAACCTTGCCAGAAAGTCATGGCAGAGAGGAGGTGCAGTCTACACCGTTTGCTGTTTGCGCTCACCTAAGTTTGGGCTGCCATTTGTCTTACTGGGGATTAGTAGTGAATATGGGACTATGTAGAGATTATATTCCCTTATTCCATACTAACAATCAGGGCCATTTTCACTCTCATCTTGTTGCTGGCATGTGTGAGTCACAACGTTTCAGAAAACTCTTTCAAAATGCAGCAGCTACACAACCTATGCTGCAGTGGATCGCCTTGAAAACCTCAGCAGTTGCTGAAATTTGTAGAAACTGCTTTGTCTCTCGTGGATACAACATGGGGAAGTCTTCGTGACCTGTTTTGTCGCTGTGGGTGCTCAGCCCACTAGTTACTACAGGTGTTTAGAAGCACAAGGAGTCGTTTTGTGGCGTAAATGACTACCAGCAGTGCTACGGCAATATTTTTGAAGCTGTTTTTACGAGCACATGGTGGATTTGGAGCCTGAAACGCGTCTTTACATGAGCGCAGGGAGGACTGGCGCCCCAGCTGTTGAGCTCCAACAGCTCTAGTGCACATCAGACCTCGACAGCAAGAATCCCCAAGCAGCCCAAGTTCTCCAATCCCTATTGTGCATGCATTGCAAGTAAAAACACCACATTGAGAGCCAGTCATTGTAACTGCCTCTTTTGTTTCGGAGTTCTGGGCTCGAGCCCGCAGCAAACATCGACATAGTACAGGTCCTCTACTGTGCCTGTGAGAAGCAGGATGGCACTGGTTACGGCAGTCAATAAATTGGGCTTTGCCCTCTTCCGACTTTTGGCATCACGGCCCGGAGAGATGCTTTGACGAGCTTTAGCAGAGATGTTTTGGCCAATCACGGCTTTGCAGGGATTGTCTGGCAGAAGCACCCAGCTCCAAAGAACTGGCACACCTGCAGATGAGGAGTCGACAAGCAATCGTTTTCCAAAGGGTGTGTAACCAGCAACCGCGAAGATGTAAGTGAAACTGTGGATCTGTGAGCAGGGCACGCGGTGCTCACCCTGAACACGTGCGAAACTAATCCGTGCGAGCCCGAAAGAGCATTTAGCTCCATACGTTGCCAAGTATCCAAAGGGTCCCCGTAGCTACTTGGTATATACCTGGGCCCGATAGCACGTACATGGGAAAGCCTTTGGGCCCAAAGTATATACTATATTCCTACATCGACCCTTTGGCAACTCAGAGAAGCCTGAAAGCCCTGAAGCAGGCCACACTGTACCGAACAGTTTCTTCAAAGTGAGAATGGGGTTAGTAGGAAAACAGGGAAGGAAATTTATAGGGGTCTATATATGGATTGTATTCCCTTATTCATTCCCCACTGAGCACCAGTTAGCTTTTCATAGACTAGCTCCCAAATCTGCTGGCAACACAAGCAGATAGCGTCTGGTTTTGGGTTTGTAGTGTTCAATGTAGAAGCCTTCCTGTCCTCTTGTAAGCCTTGTACATATATGCTCCAAATTCTAAAGCCCCTTGAGGCCTTTCCATTGGGCCCCACGAAGTGCGCTTTACTTGTTGAGCCCAGGAACCTTCTCATCGCACCCCCGTCATTAACGGCATGCTTGTCTATGGTCACGGCTGGTTCTACGGAGGGCTCTCGAACAGAAGAGGAGACGGGATGCGGAGTGTTGAGCCAAAAGCAACCTAAGGATCCATGTACCTGGGCTTGGGGTTCCGGATGCTACCATCCAAAGGCTAACCTAAAGCCACCTAAAGCTATAGGTAAAGTTGCTGAGAGCTTGCTAAAGGCAGAACTGGATAATTTCTGGCCATTGCGCATGGAACAGTTGTATGTTCGCAATGTCTCATCAGCATGTCAGCATGTCATCATACAAGGCAGCTTAATCGCTGGAGTTCGAACCGTTCAACATGCAGACATACGCAAGCTTGCCTCAGGCAGTGGGATGTAGTGCTTGCAAAGCATGGGTCAGGTATGCATCGCAACCGAACTCTTTGACGTATCCTCACCGCAGTATGGTTGCAGTGTCCTCCATTGTGAAGGTACTGAATACTGAAGATCAGAAAACAGCATAATTCCCTAAATCCTAAACCCGCGGGGTTCCGTGAAGGTCACAAGCTTCAACTAGGTGCTATTTGCCGAGCATTTGGGATATCCTGAACCCCAGCATCCCAAGCTAATAATGATGATAATAAGAATAGAAGTAATAACAGTAGTAGTAATGTTTAGGGTCCAGGGTTTTAGGGTTTAGGGTTTCGAGCTTAACGATGGAAAATAGAATGGAAGCTGCTATTTCATAATAGCATCAATCAGCGCCCAGGAAGCCCCATCCTTAACCAGAAGCGCTCTGAATTCTGCAACCCCCAAAACCCTCAACAAGTGTACGGGTTCAGAGGTTCGTTCAGAGTTCAGGGTTCAGGGCACAACAAGCCTGAATACATTCTAGCTTGATGCATTGGATCATTTTCCTGCATCTTGTTTCGTTCCACTACCTGGCAGCTCTTAACCTACATCTGAAACCCCAAGCCTTACCCGCCTCAAAATCCAAGCCTAAACCCTAAACTCCCTAAACGTTGAACCCTAAACCCCAAACCCTAAATAGTAGTTTCCATGTCATTTCCCATTATCCCTCATAACCCCAACATACCCCGCATAATTCCTTTATAACCCTTATAATCATTATCCCTACAATTCCTGTAGTTTCCAGATTATTTTCCATTACCCCAATATAACCCTAAACCCTGAACCCTACACCCTAAACCCTATACACCCTACATGGAATTCTAGACCCTAAACCCTAAACCCTGAACCTCAAATCCTAAACCCGAAGTCCAAAACCCCTAAACCCTAAACCCTAAACCCTACATAACCAGTTCTGGTCTTGGCTCCAGGAGCTCCTATCTTTGCTGGGCGGGAGCATTCCAAGCCTGCCAACCAATTCTGCCCTGAAGACGGATAACTCTGCATGGGCGCCTACCTCCTGAAAGGGGGGGTATATAGGGTTTAGGATTTAGGGTTTAGGGGTTTAGGACTTCGGGTTTAGGAATTTGAGGTTCAGGGTTTAGAGTCTAAACTCCTGAAAGGGGGTTATATGATATGGGGGATGCGCGTACAGGGGCCCCAAAACCCCAAAGTAGGATGTCTGCAAGGATTATATACGGAGTACATAGTAAAAACGGAAAAGAACATGCAAACTACCATATTGGGTTTCGGGACCTATACATATGCGTTTTCACGAGAGGTTTATGACCTGAAGGACCTGACTAGACAACCCTCTCATCCTAAGAGCTCCTCCTCCAGCCCTAAACCCTGTACCTTAGGTGGACCCCCCACCCAGTAATAGTGACTACAAGGGATAATAGGGATTATATTAGGGTCCTTTTATATTCCTATTATACCACTATTGCAGGGTTGGGGGGTCCTCCTAACCTATACCTTACAAACCTTACACCCTATTTAAGCCCTAAGCACTATAAAGCTTAAGACCTACACCCTCAATCGCTTTGTCTTCCATCAACCCTACACTCTTTTAGGGCTGGAGTCCTACTTTGGCCCTCAATGTCTTTATTATTCTAGTACCCTCTTTACGTTCATTGGAGCCCTATAGGGGAACATGCTCCACATGTCCTGCTTTGGGCATTATGCCCTGCGTCAGCTCTCTAGGTGCGGATGCGAATCCGCCCGGACTTTGTGGAAGCCGTCCAGGAAAGGTTTGGCGCGGAAGCCCACGAACTGGCAGGCACAGACCCTGAACCCATCAACGAATCGAGATCGCAGTTAGCCATTGCAGGTCATGTATGCTGACAAGTTAAGGTATTTCATTTCTGTTGTTCTTGCTATAGCCAAAACCTGCTCCCACAACGGATACAAATACTATTACGCCATAGTTTCCGTTGTCTGGGTGAAAATCTTCTTTTCTTATTTTCCAAGCCAAGTATCGAGCTTACATAGACGTAAAGACGCTGCAAGAATTCCCTAAATTCTGTTTTGATGAAATTCGGCTTTGAATCATGAAGTTCAGTTATTTGCAGTTGTTGTTTTTCACATGGTGTAGTTTGGCCTGTAGCCTAAGTTTTATGCAGACCTTAAATCATTTCCAAGATTCGGTGAAATCCCAGTCTGTGCGCAAAATCAGACATTCCAGTAGTGGCGGGATAGGGTGCAATCTCCCATTGAATCTGAAGATTTTTGAGGAAGTACTAGGTTTCATGTTGAATTAAGGGCACTCCTTTTCTTGGTCATGGAAGTTAACTCAACTGAAGGTGGACAATTCACACAGACTATGGTGTCGAGCAATGTTGTCTAGTGTTGGCCCGGAACACATCTTCCGCTGTGCGGATCCAGAGAACCAGGGCGACCAGCGTGCATATCTAAACACAGCCAGGGCACCGCAAGCTAGTCTCGAGTATCTATTCAAACAACGCAGGTTGCCTTCATAGCACGAAGTACCTTATCTGACCTGATCTTTGGTTAACGGGAATTTCTTGGTTTGGAACATGGGAGAAGTTTTCTTGTAGTCTTCGGTTTGATTTCATACAGAGCTGAGCTGAGCAATTCCCATGAAGTAGTTGATTTTTGAGCCAGGCACAATGGGTCCTGTACGCGAGGAAGGAGGTTGCACCTAAACCTACATATACATGTATAGTACATTCACTCTCTCTCTCTCTCTATATATATATATATGTACATATGTATATGCACATACACATATACCTATATACACAGACATATGTATGTATATATATATACAGATATACATATATAAATATGCACATGTAGATGGCTGTAACGCACCCTAGCAATAATACCCCATAATGCCTATATAACCCCTACAGAACCCCTATAACCCCTGTAGTTTCCATTTTCTTTTCCATTATCCCTATATACCCCGTATATAAAGCCCCAAACCCTAAACCCTGAACCCTAAACCCTAAACCCCTAAGACCCCCATTATAAGCTGAGCAAAGCCAAGGAGTGGGTGAAAGACAAGACGCTGGCCCGCATCCCAACGCTCTTCGACAGTCCGCTGGATCCGATGACTGCGACTGGATAATGTGGAAATAGAGTCCCTTAAGTAGATAGACTATATAGGGTTTAGGGTTTGGGGGTTATAGGAAGTATAGAGTCCCACATATACTAGGGCTATATTGGGGTTGTAGTGGGATAATGGAAAATAAAGTGGAAACTACTATTTAGGGTTTAGGGTTAAGGGTCCCCCTTAAGTAGATAGAATATGGGGTATATGGGATCTTATTAAAAACTACCCAAAGCCATATTCTATCTACTTAAGGGGGACTATAGGCATATGAGCTACTGGCAATATTTGCGTTATTGAGGGACCCTAGCAAGTGGACATAAATGTCCCTTCTGTGGTTTAGTAAAGTCCCCTTAAATTCCCAAAGGGTCCATGTAGCCATATGGGGTATACTTGGGCCTTAAAGTAGGTATATGGGAACCCCTTTGGGCCCTAAGTATATACCATATACCTACATGGACCCTTTGGGATTGTGTAGGAAGTATGGACATTCGCTCACATATGTATATATGTCTTGAATTATGCATGCACATACCTATACAAACACATGTACTTGCATGCTTCAACCATTTCACTTTTGAGGGCACTTTTGCAGGCAAGCCACTTGCGCCCAGACTTAGGCGATGGTGCTGGTGAACACGGTTTTCTTCAAGGGTTCATGGGTGACGGTCTTCGATGTGGCGCGAACCCGAAGATCAGAGTTCAGGAACTTTTCGTCGCGACTTCCATGCGACATGATGTACAAAAAAGACAGGATGATGTATATGGAGAACGATCAGCTACAAGCTGTCAGATTGCCATACAGCGATGAGAAGACCTGGGCGACCATCATTCTTCCAAAGATGGAAGGACCAGCCGAGGTCCCTCTGTGGCAAAAGCATGGCTGTAGGGCATGGGGGGGTGGATGTTGTAAAATACGGGTCCGTGCAAAACCCAATTAAGATATGGGGGTGACAGCAGGATATAGGGGTCCCTCTTTTGGCATTTTACAGCGCATATACTTAAAACGCAGCTATTTGGGAAAGCAGCTTTAGGACATGCCCAGCAGGTGGCATCCACTCCCCCTGAACCCTAAGCCCGGTTTGGGGTTTAGGGTTTAGGATTTCAAGCCCATCTAATCTAAACTTTCAGTTACTCATGGTTCTCAAATTTCCGAAAAATCTCAAAAGTTCAAAATTGAAGGGCCCCGGCCCAAGCCTTAAGCAATGGTAATGAACCCTAAGCCTTGGGTACTGCCCCCGCCAGTAACAGTCTATATTAGGGGTCCTATTAAGGGATATATATATATAACCATTATAGAAGTATTATCCAACTGTTACGGAGTGGGGGCAGTACCCAGCCTAAACCCTTTACCCTTAACCGCCGTCATGCCAAGGTGGCATCCACTCTCGAGCAGACCTGGGAAGATTTAAACTGGGAGCTGCGCGGACGGACGGTCGGTAGCCTAGTCCTACCGGGAGCTCTTCAAAATGTAGGTCTGGGGATGAGACCATGAGGCTTTAGGGTTTGGGGATTCGGTTTCAGGGTTTAGGCTTCAGGGTTTGGGGGCTCGGGCTTCAGAAGCCCTAAACCCTGAACCCTAAACCGTGTGGCAGTTTGGGAGGCTTACTCCGCCCCAACTAACATGTAAGCCCAAAAGGGTCTCTATACAGAATCCTGTGCAAAGGTTTGGGCTAGCCGAAGTCCTGGATCCCTAAGGGGGCAGTCGTATTTCAAACATGGATACAGCGGTCTCCAAGGCAACCCGCACCCTAAACTCCAAACTCCCAACCCTACTTGAAGGTTCCTGGGACTTAGTAGCTACTTAAAACTGGGCTTATAACCCTACTTATGAATGGGGTAACCCCTATAAGGCCGTTTAGGGGGGTTATAAGTGGGGTTATAAGCCCAGTTATAAGAAGTTATTAAGTCTCATGAACCTTCAAGTAACCCCTAAACCCCCAGACCCTAGAGCGTAAGAGGTGGAGCTGCGTCTTCCACGCTTCCGACTCAGCGCAGGAGGGTCGATGAAGTCGGCATTGCGACAGCTTGGTCTGAAACTGGACAAGGGATTAGGGGTATAGGGTTTAGGGTTCAAAGTTTTGGGGTTTAGGGTGTAGGGTTTAGGGTTTAGGATTTAGGGTTTAGGGATTAGGGGTTCTGGGTTAAGGGAAGGGATATGGGAGGATACCCTATAGAGGATGGGCTTGCGATGTCTATCTTTTTCTATGTATATATGTATATATACATATGTATATACACATAGTAAAGGGTTTAGGGTTCGGCGCCCTTCTTGGGCATATCTTAATAGTACCTTAGCAGCTCTACTGTACTAGTTCTCCTATAGTCTTTCAGAAATCCCCATCTAGCTCATTGTCAAGGAAACCCCTTTTTGAGGAAACCCCTTCTGGGATGCCCAGTGAGCTCGCTAAGCTTTAAGCTGAGGAATGCATGTCTAGATAAGCTGAGCAAATCCTGGTATATGTTGAGAAATATTCCTTCATTCAGATTCATTCAGCTTACGGGACAGAAGGGTGTGTCTTGAACAGGGGTGCATTCACGGACATCTCAGAATGACCCTGGTCTTGTTTAGGGCTCCGACGGGCCGTAAACGCGCAAAATATGCGTTCTCGCCCAAGCCCTTCGGGACTGGCCTGCGTGGCACG